AAAACAGGTCAGGCATTTAAAAACAGATAGAGACACGAGAGCAAGTCTCTTGCTCTCTCTGACTTGTGCTGAAGAAGGACCTCAGTCAACCCAGCTGTGAGTAGATACCTGGCCATCAGGCTAAGGAACTAAAGACAGCCAGATACGATGCTGGCCACATCACTCCTTTACATGACATTGGCTTCAGAAACTAGCATGACTTAACCACGCTACCTTGATGAGCCTGTGCCTAGGATGGACCTTAGACTACACATGTGATCTTTAAAATGCTTACAGAAATAGCTGGTATTGTTTGTTTTCTGGTTGATACCATGGTAAGACCAAGACCCAGTTGTGCTAGGTGCTGTACACACATGACAAGAGAGGCGTTGTAACATTCAGTGTGGCAATAAGGTACACTGTGTATTATACTAAACTTGCTAATAGTTTAGTATGTTTTGCATTTCATTCCTTAGTATAAAACATGGCACTTTTGATAACTAATAGTCAACCAGGATTCTTCTGTATTTAAGCCACAGCCAAACCAATGTCTAGTCCACAGACTTCTGTACTTTTCAAGACAAATATTGCTTCCATTTACAGTATTTCCCCTGATTTCAGATTGTTTGAATTTGGCTCATTCAAGAGATAGGAACCAGCTGCAAAATACAGATTTGAAACTACCCATGTTCCCCCATATTTGGAGATGACTAGGTAGAAGCTTCAGTACATTATTGCTTTGAGCTCATCTCTGGGTGGAAAGATTTCCAAACTCAGTGCGTTTCATGGTTGAATTAGGCTCCACATCAGAGTGGAAGTTTGTGGGTATGCAGTCAGACAGAGAGGAAGCCAACAGTACTTCAAAAGCTGCTTTATATTTTCCCTCAAGAAGTTAATAAAATTAAATACACACACAGAGGAACTGCTATTTACTGAGAATGACCCTAACTATCTCTCACTATATTTTGTTAGACTCTTTGAATGAAGTAAGCCTCACACTGAATGAGTCTGTCCTGGTATGCAAGGACAGATCCCCAGCTTGTTTTAACTGTAGTAGGAATTAATGCAGTTATATTGTCCCAGGATGAGGAGACAGCAATAATATACCTGAATAAACAAACTGTTTAAGCTAACATACCAGCTGCAAATTATATTGTTTAGTTACACAATTCTCTGCCATGCTGGCTACTGGTAGGAAAGACTGTTATCATAAGAGCTCCCATTTGCTGTCCAGTGATAGTTCAGATACTTTAAAATGTCTGGTGCATATTTGATATAATGAAGAGAAAAAAGTCTAAGGAACTGTTCGTATTCTCAAAAAATGGTGACACCTGGCTGGATGGCAGCAGTATGGAAAAAGATGTGGGCGTCTTGGTCTATCACAGACTCAATATGAGTCTGCACTGTGATGCAGCTGCACAAAAGGTGATGCACCAATAAAAGCATTAAGTGCAGGACATGGGAGGTGATAGCACTTCTCTACTTGGCACTGGTTAGGCCTCATCTGGAGTACTGTGTGCAGTTCTGGGTCCATGTTTTAGAAAGGACTTGGAGAAGTTAGGGAATGTCCAGAGGTTGGTAACAAAGATGATCAAGAGCTTGGAAAGCAAGTCACATGAGGAGAAGCTTAAGTAGTTAGGCATGTTTAGCTTGCAGAAAAGTCACTTAAGAGGGGACATTATAGCAGTCTTCAAATACTTGAAGGACTGTCATAAAAACAACAAAAGCACCTTTTCTTTCTTGCTTCAGAGAGGAGGATGCAGACTAATGGCTTGCAGTTGTAACAAAGTAAGTTTAGATTGGCTATCTGGAAAAACTTCTTCACTGTTAGAACAGCGAGGTAGTGGAATAGACTGTCTAGGGAAGTTGTGGACTCTCCATTACTGAACGTGTTCAAGAAGTTGTATAGCCACTGGTCAGAGATAATTTAGGTGTAAATACACCTGTGTTCTACTATGGGTATTTTATATGCTTCTGGGCTTTGTTGGTTGCCCCTGCACTCCCTTTCTGTTACATGTGTTAGGGTGTTGTTAAGCCTCCCTCAGAAGTATTGGGTGTTGGCTACAGCCAAGGCAGGGGACTTTGGGATGTGCCAGTACTGCCTCTCTTCTGCCAATACTTCTACTGGGAACAAAGCAGAGGTTCCTAGCTAGGGGGTCTTGCCCCTCTGCTCAGGGTCAGACTGATCACCGTATTTGGAGTCAGGAATGAATTTTACCCTGTGGTCAGATTAGTACAGACTGTGGGGTTTTTGCCTTCCTCTGTAGCGGGGGACATGGCCCTTTACCTGGGATTTCTTGAGCATATATTGACATTTCATAAAAGCATGACATTGGCTGCCATGGTTCTCCTGCTTTACCTGTGGTTGGTTAGAGTATTAGGTCTGTGTTTTATCGGGGTTGACAGTAGGCTTATGTATTAGATTAGTAGTCTCAGTAGTAGTCTTAGTTTAGATTATGGATTGTATGGGATTGTTTGGATAGGGATGATCTTGCCTCAGGCAGTGGGTTGGACTAGATGACCTCTGGAGGTCCTTTTCCAGCCCTGCCTCTGTGATTCTATGATTTCAACTGCCAAGGGATTTTTTTAAGGGTGAACTGAAACAAGGCGAACAGAGGTGAAGGTTTTGCACCTGCACTTTAGGGCTAAGTACAGACAGTCAAAAAGCCTGAGGGTGAATCTATTCAATCTTCACAGGTTAGTCTAAACTGACTGAACCAAGAAGCAAGTGAAGAGACATTCACTTTTGAGTCTAGAAATGCAGCTACATGCCTGCAGTGTCTCAGGCCAGAAGCCAGGGGGTGCTAAATCATGCCTCCCTATTCAGCTGGAACAGACAGCTTGGACCAAGGCTAACCCACCTACCCTGTGAGGAAGGTGCAAAGCATTCTGGGATACTGAGGAACTGTGACTTAACTTAACTCTGAAGGGGATCTTGGACATCAGTTCCATAAACCTAAATCCACTTAACCTAAATCAGCTAAGTGATACTACATTCATCCAGGTTTATCTTAAACCATTTTCAGTCATTGGTCTAATAATCTCATTTCAGTCACTGGTCTATGTGGTCCATTTGCATTGAACTTTGGTTGTGTTACAATTTTGACCTGGTTTCCAATCTCTTATACCAGTTTAAGTGTAATGTCTGTCCCAAGCCCAGCTGAACTAATGGTAAAGCACTGCCTTTATTTCAAGGGCTAGATTCACAAGAAGGATTTGGGCACCTAAACCCAATGTTTAGCTACTTCTGGCCTTCTCCAGACATCTTCTCATCTGTTGCCTAAGCCAATAAGCACACAAGTATCTGGCATTGGGCATGTGTATAACTCCCTAAGCAAGCAGCTTCACAGACCAGGAGCTCCTTATTCAATCCAGAATCTGCCTAATGGGAGCAAACCTAATTTCACACAACAGGTAGCCAGAAAGAAGTGATTAGATGGTATGATTTTTCAGTGGGATTTAGCAGACTCAGGTCAAATTCTTCTCCTGTCTGAGGTGGATGAGGTATTTGAACCCACACCTCTCCCAAAGACACTCTTAACCACTGGACTATAAGGGTATTTGTGGGGCTACCTCATTTTCTTCTGTTGACAGTCTTCCACTTTGTGTCAAGTACCTGAATATCAATTATGGAGGTAGGGGAGGACAAAAAGAGAGATATTTATTTAATAGAGTTTCTTTATAACCTAATGGCATACATAGGGGAGATCTGGGCCCCATCGCCCTCTCCAGTGACTATTTCATATACAAGCGGCCTACTGCCTTCATTGTTAGATCTGTTGTAGGGTGGAAGACAAGGCTTGCAGCTATGAATCTGAGTTAAGGGAGGGTCTTTCCTCCAACTCAGAATTAAATGCCTCTCTTTAAGAGGTTCTACAGGTGGCTTTGGTGCTACCTACATGCTGCTTTCTCAAGATGTTGTTTTAGCTGCCTAGCTCTTCCATCATAGTGGACATATCTACATGAGACACTGACTGAGCGGTAGTCAAATAATACTGTGCAGTAGCATGTCACAGCACTAACAGTGCCAGTACACTACTGTGCAGTATTATTAGGTTACCGCTCAGTAGTGTCACTTAAAAGACATTTGCCAGCAGGACTGCACAGTAACTCTGGTTACCAGTATAATCAAGTACTAAATAAAATGTGTGGTAACCACTGTGCTCTAGTGTCTCATGTGGGGTAGCCTGGGTACCTAATTTAGGGTTCTGAATTATGTTAGGTAGTAAGCTGCCTAATGGTTAAATGTTGTATTTCTCATTATAAACTAGCCATTAATACAACTTTTGCTTTACTGATGCAAAAAGGAAATGGGTTCTAAAAGATCATCAACTGACTAGGAAAACCAGAACAAGAAAGTTTTCAGATCACTCATTAGTGAATATAGTCACCAATGTCAGGATTTGGAAAACTGAGACAACAAATTTCATGATCTCAGAACATAAATTTCAATACTGAGAACTAAAAATATTCATAAACTTTGCTAAAGCTTATGCACAGATCTAGGCTCTGTGGCAGTTTAATTCAGTAGAATTCTGAATTTTGCAGCTTTGAACTACTGCTCGGGAAATATATAATAAACTGTATGTGCCTCACTGCAGCCTATATTTAAAAATACTTACGCAGGTGTTATCGTCAGCATTCTTATGCCAATGAAGCGCTTCTTCCCATCTGGAAAAGAAGAGGAAGTATATTTAAGAATTTTAAGTAAATAATCAAAAGAACATTTTCGCAAGAAATTCAAACATAATATATCAAACTTTGCAATAAATTTAACAGTACAGATACTGCAAAGAATACAGAATGACTAAAATAAATGCCTTCTTCTAGGTACCCCTAGACTAGAATAAGGATTTTTCATCCCAAGTTCCATTGTAGAGATGATGGATGCTACAAAAGACCTCACAAAAACTCGATTTTAGTTCTGCAAAATCTCTTTTCCATCAGCAGAATCGATGGAAGACACTATGCTTCTATACATATTTTTCTTAAGTAAAAAACTGTAAATTTCCAAGAAGCTAACACACTTTCTAGCACAAAAATCTTTCATTGTTCTTAAACTACTTAGAAAATGGAAAATGGCATAACACAGTGTACTTGTTTTAAAGCAGATTAAATCAATATTATGAAGCTGTTTTTAAAGATGGCGAGATGGATTCAAAAAGATTTTTAAAGCAATGGTTATTAGACCCCAGCAGTCTTTCCTGCCCAAAGCAGGGGGCTGGACCCAATGATCTCATGAGGTCCCTTCCAGCCCTAAACTTCTGTGAATCTGTGTGATTTTTTTCATTTTTTGGAAAAACACTTTTCTCATGGCCTGATACTGCAGGATGTGAGATCACATGGTGCTGAAGCTAATAGCCCTCTTGTTTAATCAGGAGGACACTAAAGGGATAGCATTTTGAGGGAAGGCTCCTGAGAACTTCCTGTGGAAGTCATTTCCTTTGTTATATTTGCCAAAGCTCATATTTGGTAACCTGCAGGTCATACTGTAAAATCCACCCATGCAGAACAGTTCTGCAAACTGGTGCCTAAAATGTTCAGTCATCCAAGCAGGGAACAGAAACAGCCCCTTACATGACTATGTCCAATGCACAGATCATGCAGCGATCCCATAGTGTTTCAAACTGGTTTGTGGATTTATTTTTGTAAAGCAATCTTTAGCAGTTAACTTAGACTCATCACACATCTACAAAACAGGTTAGTATAATCTCAAATATGTAACTTGTCCCAAAGTTTAGAGTTGCTCAGTTTCCCAGGCTGTACCTGAATAATGAGGCTACAAGTGCTGAATGACAACAAAAGCTCATTAATGTAGATAGAGAGCAGTATGCAGCTGAAAAACTAGTGGATAAGCTATGTGAAGCTCAGTGTATTTGCTTCAAAGAAATGAAAGAAAATGGTGAAAATAACCAGGACACAGCTTGAACCTACAAGAAGTTCAAATTGGAAAGAAAAAAAAAAAATCAGCACTGCAGACATAACTTTATTGGTTCCTGAAGCTAAAATTGTCAGTAGTGGCCATGCTATTATACAGCTTTTTTATGAACTAATTAGATTTAATACTTCCTGTTGTGAGTGCTTCAGCAGTTGACTATATCCTGAATAAGAGAATATTTCCTCTTATTTGTCTCAGAGTAACTAACTTTAGCTTCTTTGAGCATCCCTGTGTTCTCATGTTATGAGACTGGGTCAAAAAGGAGGGAATAGGCAGTCCTTTTAACTCCAGGATAAATAATCCCAGTCTTGGGGACCTAGGCATGCATTCCTCACATGCCCAGTAATCTCATTAATGTCAGTGGAAGTTTGAAGTGCCCAAGGCATGTGTCTATACGAGATGCTTTACTGCACAGCAGACTAATTTGCTGAGTAATAAAGCATCACTGTCTACACCTGCACAGCTATTAGGGTGTAGTAGACTGATTTACTGTGCATGTATATTCCTGTCAGATACAAGCGGTATCCAGCAGTATGGTGCATTACTGTACTTAAATGCACATGTAGACAGTGACATCAGGATTAGTTTATTCTGGCTCAAATTGAGCTTGAGTATATTCAGTCACATGTAGATGTGCCCAAGGAGTGCAGAATTTATTAAGCTCTTGGCAATTTTCTATCATGCCTCCAAGCATCTTTGCTGATTTTCCCTGGGATGTTCAATCTCTTTTGCCTTTTTAAGGTGAAACTGATACGAGCAATACAAGCTTCAGGAAGCTCCAGATGGAGAAATCTTATCAACTAGAATTGAATTTTGAAAGGTTCTGGTCAAGAGACAAATTCTTTGTATCCGATTTATGCCTTTGGCCAGATTAGCACATATACATTCTTTAAAATACAAAATTTCATTAAAAAATAATATCTAGCTCTCATGGTTGCAACTGAAGCCTCTTGAATGAGACCAAATTGTGAAACAATGCACGACTGACTTCCCGAGCCACAGGCATGGAAGGGGCAGAAGAAGGGAAAGAGGGGGGAAGGGTA